CTTTCTGAAAGGGAAGGGCAAGCTCAACCATCTTCTTGGAAAAGGGCCTAAGAAAGAAGATCCAAAGTTTGCTGCTTGGGACGAAGAAGACTCAATGGTCATGTCATGGCTATGGAATGCTATGGTACCCAAGATAAGTGATACTGTCATGTTTTTGACAACCGCTCAAGAGATATGGGAGGCGATCAGACAAACTTATTCGAAGAAAAATGATGCAGCCCAGGTGTACGAGATCAAGGTGAAGCTAGCTGCCACAAAACAAGGGAACAAGACTGTAACAGAGTATGCCAACACTCTGAAAAATTTGTGGTACGAGTTGGACTATTACTAGGTTCTCGAGATGAAGAACAGTGAGGATGCTGCGTTGTTGAAGGCTTTCATAGAAAAAGACCGAATCTATGATTTCTTAGCAGGCCTTAATCCGGAATTCGATACTGTAAGAGTTCAGACTTTGGGGAAAGGATTATCCTCCCTAAATGAAGCAATTGCAACTATTCGTGCTGAAGAGAGCAGGAGAGGAGTTATGTTGGATTCGCAGCCATTGGAAGGATCGGCACTCCTTACAACCGCTGCTAGTGAGCAAACTTTCGAGAAGAAGTCTTCAGCTATTACTGATTATAAGAAATCTGACCCAAAGAGGACATTCAAAGAGAATCTGGTATGTAACTATTGCAACTGGTCATACGAAGGACACCTGCTATAAGCTACATGGAAGGCCACAAAACATGAATCAGTCAAACTGGAATTCCGGAGGAAGAAGCTGGCAGCAAAAGGGAAAAGCCCACGTTGCACAAAATAGCACTAATAATACCAGTGATCAACTGAATTCCAGCAGCAGAGAATTCTGTAAGGAAGACATTGATCGCCTCCGATCCCTTCTTAATTCACTCGAAGAACCTACAGGTGCCTGTTCATTAGCACTTTCTGGTATGTATTCAGGTTCTCATGCTCTTAGTGTCTCAGATAATGTTTTAATCCACCCACACTCTTGGATTGTCGACTCAGGCGCAACCGACCATATGACCAACTCATCCCAATCTTTTTCTTCTTATAAACCATGCCCAAGTAATAAAAAGATCACCATAGCTGATGGGAATTTAGTCACTGTTGCAGGACAGGGGGACATATCCTTAGGACCTTCCTTGTGTCTTAAAAATGTTTTACATGTGCCCAAATTGACAACCAATCTTTTATCTGTAAAACAAATCACCAAGGATATGAACTGCAATCTTATTTTCTCAAAAAATTCATGTGTGTTTCAGGACCGAGCTTCGGGGAAGACGATTGGGCATGCTAAAGAAAAGGATGGTCTCTACTGTCTCGAGCCCATGAGTGGAAAAGTGAGTACTGGAATTGGTTGTTCATCTGTGCTTCTGTCTGATTCCTCCACAAATAAAGACAAAATTCTCCTTCATCATTTTCAGCTTGGTCATCCTTCCTTCAGAACTCTTAGTCTTATGTTTCCTTCTTTGTTTAAAAATGTTGATTTGAAACAACTTCATTGTGATATTTGTGAAATTGCCAAACACAAACGTGTTTCCTTTCCTTTGAACAATAATAAATCATCAGTTCCTTTTTATTTGATGCACAGTGATGTTTGGGGTCCTTCACGGGTTGCTAATTATTCTGGGGCACGTTGGTTTGTCATTTTTATAGATGATTGTACGCGGGTAACTTGGACTTTTCTCATGAAGCAAAAATCTGATGTAGCCAATATCTTTCCAATATTTCATAACATGATAAAAACACAGTTTGGGGTGAAAATTAAAAGGGTGAGGACAGACAACGGGAGAGAATATTTTAACCAAATTCTTTCATCATATTTGAATCAGGAGGGAATAGTTCATGAGTCCTCATGCATTGACACTCCCCAACAAAATGGGGTGGCCGAAAGAAAGAATGGACATCTTCTTGAAACTACCCGTGCTCTTCTTTTTCAAAGACAAGTTCCAAAATATTTTTAGGGGGAAGCCGTTCTTACGGCCACTCATCTCATCAACCAATTTCCTACTAAAGTCTTAGATTTTAGAAGTCCTTGGGAAACACTTTCACATCATTTTCCAGACTTACTTACTCCAAACAGGTTGTCTCCTCGGGTATTTGGCTGTGTTATCTTTACTCATGTTCATGCTCACAATCGAAGCAAACTTGATCCCCGAGCACTTAAATGTATTTTTATAGGTTACTATTCAACTCAAAAAGGTTACAAATGTTACCATCCGCCTACTCGGAAAACCTACATTTCAATTGATGTCACATTTGTTGAACATGAGAGTTTCTTTCATCATCCTTCTCCTCAGGGGGAGGTAACAAGTGATGAAAAGGATGATGATACCGATGTCCTCGATTTCGATCTTATGCCCAAATTGTCACCACCATCTTTGAGTCCAAGTTCTGCAACCACTCCTGCCTCGGTTTCCTTTGGTTCCCCTCTTACCGCGGCTTCTCCAAGTCCGGATCACATTCATTCCCAGGTTTCACTACCTACTTCCGATCCCAGTTCTGATATTCCTCCGCTTCAAAATCCAAGTGTGACATCTCTTGAATCTCAACCACAATCTCCTCCTAAAAATCCAACTCCATCAATCAATCCAGTAGTCACTAAACCACTTCAAGTTTTTTCGATAAGGAAGGGTGGCAAGACTAATCCGAAGCAAGCCCAAAAGTCAGAACCTATGCTTGGGAAAGAAACCACTCAGGAGAAAAACACTACTCAGGTAAACAATTCCACTCTTGTGTTTGATGAGACTGATTTAGAACTACCCATTGCAGTTCGAAAAGGTACCCGAAGGTGTACACAACATCCACTCTCTCATTTTGTTTCCTTTGAAAAATTATCTCCCTCACATAGAGCCTTCCTTACTCAGTTAAACTCAATAGCCGTTCCTAAAACATTGTCTGAGGCATTAAACAGCAGGGAATAGAAGCAGGCCATGAAAGTTGAGATGGACGCACTGGAAAAGAACAAGACTTGGGAGATGGTCGAATTATCGAAGGGAAAAAAAACTGTGGGATGCAAATGGGTGTTTTCAGTAAAATTCAATGCAGATGGATCTCTTGAAAGGTACAAGGCAAGGCTAGTAGCAAAAGGATATACCCAGACCTTTGGTGTTGATTATCAAGAAACTTTTGCCCCAGTGGCAAAAATGAACACAATAAGAATTTTATTGTCTCTGACTGCTAACTTTGATTGGACTTTGCAGCAGTTTGATGTAAAAAATGCATTTCTGCATGGAGATCTTGAAGAAGAAATATACATGGACGCTCCTCCAGGATTTAGTTTTCCGAAGAAGAATAGGGTATGTAGACTAAGGAAGGCACTGTACGGATTGAAGCAATCCCCAGGGCTTGGTTTGGCAGGTTTGCAAGAGCAATGTTAGCAATGGGTTACAAACAAAGTCAAGGTGATCATACTTTGTTCATAAAACACTCTTCTTCAGGGGGAGTTACAGTCCTCATTGTATATGTAGATGATATTATTGTCACTGCCAATGATCAAGCTGAAAGGGAAACTCTTAAAGCTAAACTGGCCACGGAATTTGAAATAAAAGACCTAGGCAAGCTGAAATACTTCCTGGGAATTGAAGTTGCTCGCTCCAAAGAAGGAATTTTCGTCTCACAACAAAAGTATGTTATTGATTTACTGAAAGAAACAGGAAAGATAGGCTGTAAGCCCGTGAAGACTCCCATTGAACCGAATCATAAGCTTGGAGAAGCTGTTGATGATGAGCCAGTTGACAAAGGAATGTATCAAAGACTTGTTGGAAGATTAATCTACTTGTCTCACACCAGGCCTGACATCGCCTATGCAGTTAGTGTAGTGAGCCAATTTATGCACAACCCAAAGGAAGTACATCTCCAAGCAGTATACAGAATCCTGCAATATCTAAAATCTAGTCCAGGTCGAGGCATATTGTTCAAGAGAGGATTGTGCTTGAACTTAGAAGTTTACACAGACTCAGACTATGCAAGTTCAGTGTCAGATAGAAGATCAACCTCGGGTTATTGTGCCTTCCTAGGTGGGAATCTTGTTACATGGAGGAGCAAAAAGCAGCCAGTAGTTACAAGGTCAAGTGCAGAAGCTGAATTTCGTGCCATGGCTTTAGGAATATGTGAATTATTATGGTTAAAAATAGTCCTGAAGGATCTTGGAGTTTCAGTTAAAAGGCCGATGAAGTTATATTGTGATAACAAGTCAGCCATCAATATTGCACATAATCTAGTGCAACATGACCGCACCAAGCATGTGGAAGTTGATCGCCACTTCATAAAGGAAAAGCTCGATAATGGACTAATTTGCACTCCGTATGTCTCAACAAGAGGACAACTAGCTGTTGTACTAACCAAAGGGTTAGCCAGTCCTGCGTTTCAAAGAATTGTCTGCAAGCTGGGGATGGAAGATATTTATTCCCCAGCTTGAGGGGGAGTGTTGGAGAATTACGTGATTTATGTAATTGTTAGATAAATTTGGAAAGTATTAACTGTCTGATTTTGTACTAATTACAGGCTAATATAGCTGGTGTATTAAAGTTTAGGTTGACTTATTTTATTTTCTGATCTTAGGGATTTGATTGTATATTCCTTAATTTACTGGATTCTGATCTGATTGTATTCAGCCTATAAAGGTCAGGCTGCTTTGTATTAGAAAGTCATGAAATATACTCCAGTTTTTCCCAATTTCTGTGTTACTTTATTAAATGGCAACGGGGATGGGGACGCCCACCACCCTGCACCCCGTTGCTTCCCTAGTTACACTATTGTAGTCAGAGACTAGAGTTCCTCCAATATACTTCTCATATGCAAAACAATATCCACTTAAGTTACAAAATACCATATTAAGAGATCCAACAAAGATCCTACTATTGTACTATTTCCTTGTGTTCATTGTGAAAAGATACAACAAAGATCCTACTATTGTACCATTTCCCTACTTGTACTCATTGTGAAACAATTTTTTTACATGACAATAGAAAGTTTAAAACCAAAAAAAAAAAAAAAACTCACACTGCAGGTTGCAAATTCCCAGATGAATTAGATGAACTTGACCAAGGAGGTGGCTCGGTTACGGTATTTGCTTGATGCCTTGAAGGGCTTTCTCTTGATACATTTGTAGAAAATATCTGTTTCCTATTCTCATGAGCTTTTTATATTCTGTAAAAAGAACTAAAGTGATGTTACAATGATGAAAAGGATATAAGAGGTAAAGCAAAGGGTAAGTACCATTCCAGTAAGTACGACCTCTGTTCTAGCAGTTAACACATCCTGAGACTGCTTTGTAGCCCCCATAAGTTTATTCTTCAAATCGTCACAAATGGTAGTCGAATGAACAGCTCGATCTTCAGAATAGTTTCCATCAGCTATCTCCATATTTTGGAGGGTTTGCAAATCAGAAACTGATATGTTAAGCGCTGTGATGTCATCTTTTATTAAAGCAGTTAATTCTTGAATTTTCTTGATTGGATCATCAAATATTGATGACCTTTTGGCCACTGCATGTCAGTAAAAACATCATCCAGATGTTAGCACAACATCATCCAGTTGCTATAGTCTGAAAACTGATCATATCAAAAACATCACAGGTTTACCGTTCTGAGATTCTTTAAGATGTTGGAAACAAGAAAGAGATGCAGTAGATAATTGAAAAGATCTTCACCGAATCTATCAAATTTTAATACAGATTTGGGATTCAAACATCATTTCATCATGTCCGAAGTATGGAATTTTAAATTGTAAAGTGAGGCAAAAACTACAAGCCATTATTGACGCAAAAAATTGAGTGCATCACAGAATTTACAACATCAAGGAAAGATATATCATGTTTTGTGTTTCTTTGTTTCCCCAGTCCCGGTGCAGCCAAGGAAAGGGGGAAAAAAACAGCAAGAAGAAAATCATAAGCTGCAGAAAATGTGATATTAAGATTTCAGACAACCCCCACCACAACCCCCCCATCTTCCACCCCACCCCCCCCCTTCAAAACCCAAAACCAAAAAAAAAAACTCCTGGCACACCCATATGTCTGTCTCAAAACATGTTCTTTGGAAAAAGAGAACAAGAAAGACAAATTTGATAAGGCTTTGACTTTGCTTTAGAGCCTCTGAGTATCATGATTCAGAAGTGGGTCATTATGCAAATCTTGTGGTTTTAAAAGTCTTAGAAGGTAGATTATAGATGTTGAACAAAAGGTTAGTCTTGTTTCATATAAGGAACTTCGAGGGAGGGAGATAGAGGTTTAGCAACACATGTTTTTCTCACCATTCCTTCCCATGATGATCTAGACCCTTGATTAGGGTGTCCTCGTCTCCAACATTATTAATTGTTGGAAATAAAATCCATTTAGTGGATCAGAGAACTACATTTTGACTGTCTTAAACCAAGCCCTTGATTAGGGATGTTTCTTTCTTTCAAAAGCAGACTGGGTAGAACCAAGACCTTAAGATGGAATGACCAAACTACCATATCCAGCTTGGCCATATCAGGTCATGACCTAGACTGGTAACGCTCCTCCTATGAAGTACTTTTATGCCTGTCTAATAATTGACATCTTTTGGTATAAATTAATATACTCCTTCTATACATTATACCCATTCATGCTACACACAACTCAAAAGTACCAAATTGGAGTTTTGGCCATATATGCCACAGACCGCAATCTCTACAACAAAAAAGTGCTGATGCAGACTCCCAAACACTGGATGGAAGAAGTTGCCAAATTGAAAGCACTTATTGAGGATGGCCGAACCACAACATGTCAACACCAAAAAGGCACTAAGTTGGGTTGAGTTTAATCCCAGCACATCCACATGCTATATTCTACCTTGAGGCAAACTCTCTGTATGGGTGGCGACCTTCCATGAACCAAAATGGAAGGCTGAGGATTCAAATCCCCTTAGGGACAATTGTGTGTGTGTGAGTAGCTTACCTATCCACCAAAAAAAAAAAAAAAACACCCTTTTGAGTGGCTAAGCACCGATATCTACAATTCATGCCAACAGAATTATAATTTCAAAAGCCTCCACAAAAAGTGCATTCAAGATAACTTAGATTAAATTTTATTGAAGTCCACAATCTAATAGGTTCCAGCATTAAATCCAGCTCCACTCAAATTAAATTTTGTCCCAATTTATTTATTTATTTTTTTCCTTTTATTTTGAACAAAATATGATAATAAGTGAGACCATTTTTTTTTTTCCCGATAGGTTCTCATCAAGAAATGAAGTCCTTTATTCCAATAGGCAAATTTACTAATGCACATGCTCCTATTGGGGCATGAACGCTATCCCATTTAAAAAGGTGGGCATACCACTCGAGTCAAGACTTTAGTATTCAACATGAAATAAAGTTGGATTGTAACCAAAACTAAAATCCATCCCACCCATAAGTAGGCCAGCATGAATTCGGCCCAGACCTGGTCCATGCAGTTTTATCACAAGTGCACAAAATAAGGAAAGAGCTCTTTAAGCAGCTAAAGAGAGTATCTCATTTGTCTAGTCATCCATCACCTTAATCAGCAGATAAAATAGAAATGAGATATACTAACTCATTAAAACTATTTCTTTGAACATTAAAGCTGTCAAGAAGCACAATGGGTTCACTAAATAGTAGGCAAAGCAATGGGCTGATTTCAATTGGTATAATAAAAAACATTCTAAACATCTGATCACCCTCACGCATATTCTGCATACATAATCATAGCAACAGAACATATCAAAAGATCCAAGAAAAATCATGAACCAGAAGGTCTAAGAACATCCAATGGACGCAATTTGGAACCAAGTGCATAGTAGAACATGAATTTTTCTATTCCATGGAGGGATGGTACCTGTTTGCACACGCAAAAGAAGAAACAAAAGTTTCATGTCCGCCGAATCTTTTCTGTACAACTACAAAGCACTGTACAGACTACATGCTGCTCATAAGAGAGAGGTTTAAATATCTTCAGGTCTCACATCCAACCTGTCCTCTGTCCTATGAATCACATTTTCTGATTGTATTTGCGTTGTTCTTCTTCCGAATTTATTTGGGCCTACCATAAATTTTGGACTAATAAATTTAATCATTTAAAATATAAAGTCCAACTCTTTAGCCTAATTAAATTAAAAAAACAAAAAAAAATTAAATAAAAAACAAAGAAACGAACCTCAAATGTAGAGACGATCAACTCTGAATTTCAAAGGTATCGTTTAAAATTTCAAAAAATTCATCTATTTTGTTTTATTCTACTTACTTTCTCTCTTTTTTCCTTTCTTTTTCAGTACAAGGAACATAAAGAATTCTATTTTTTCACCTATTCTTTGTCAGTTCTGAAACAAAAATAAAGAAAGACTTCATTTTTATTGTTGTGTTGTGATTTGTTTCAAATCAAAAACATATTAATAACTACTTGGTCCATACTCCATACGTGAGTATGTGACTACTTGGTGACGATGATTTTGAGGAATTTGTTCAATTTTGAGGATTTCTGTTTTTGTGTTATTTTCTGTTCTGTTTATGTCTCAATTTTTTGTGTTTTGGCCTTATTCTTGTTATATTTTACAAACAATATTGTTTAAAAAAGTATTTTGAATTTTTTTTTACAAATTGGTAGAATCTTACTATTTACAATCAGATCCAACGATTCCGATTCTACTGCAACCTTGAAAAAATACTATAAGATGTATGAAAATCAGAGAGAAAAACATATCAGTAAGAAAGTTGAAATCCAGCCTTTAGTGACGTAGGCACTCTGCCGAAACACGTAATATCTTGTGGTTTTTTTTTTTTTTTTTTTTTACAAGGTCAACAACAAGAAATCTTCCAACTGCAATAAAACATTCAAATAATAATTATTATGAGCAATTAAAACTTGAGAAATGGTAATCATAGGATCAATAAAGTGAAATTAATGGCATTCAAGTTTGACTTTACCTTTGGATCTCTTGGACTATGTTTCTACTCTTTGAAAATTTAACCAATAATGATTAGAAATAGAAGTGTATATAACTATTTTTCACTAATTGGTACTCTGATTTCTAAACAATCCAAAATTTTAACTTTCCAAATCAATCAATCAATCAATCTGAGGAATTGATAAATCAGAGATTGAATCAAAGCAAAAGAGAAGAGATACACCACTTACTCACCTTCTTCAAAGAAGCCTTGTCAACGAGCTTTTTGACGAACATGTGTCTTGAGTTATGTTCACAGAGTAGATGTGAAGCTATGAATGATCGGAAATGGCGACGACAAAGAAGAAGAAGAATGAGTCTTAGCGAACTTTGATGCGAGAAAATCGCCAAGAAGAGTATAATTAGTGAGAGTGAATTGGTGGTTGTTTCTATTTTTCCGTGGATACTGATCCGGAGGGGGTAAGGGGAGCATGCGTCAAGGATCCCTTAACTCGCTTGTAACGGGTTCGGGTTTCTTTTCTTTTTAATATATTTTTAATATCATATAATTACGGGATAGGTGTGAAGAATGGTTCTTCTTTATTTTTAAGTTAAAGTGTATCCTCATGCATGAGATTTGATAAAAAGACACACAGATAAAAGTTATTTATTTGGACAATGACACCCCTTTAAGTTTGAAAAATGAACAAAGAGACCCTGACAATGATGAATTGACTTTATTACCCTTTGATATAAAATTGATATTTTAATTGACTTAAATACCTTTGAATCAAACCCAAACCTAAACATTTCTCCCTTTATCTCTGTATGTATGTATATTTATATATACACACACTACATAATTACTGCCGCCGCCATCATCATCCCCAATTCACTGACCACCACCACACAAAACCCAACTCCTCAAAATTACACTCATATATATCTATATAGATATATAAAACAGCCAAATATAGATATATACATATATATATGTATGTATAGATATATACACACAAAATTACACACACATGTGTATATAGATATATACACACATATACAAAACAGGGGAGCCAAATAAGGTCTTTTTCACAACCGAGCTCACCGCCGTAGTTCCGCATCACAGCCGAGTCCGCCGTCACCATTGCTGCCATCACGCCGCGAACTGCCGAGAAGCTCACAACCGAGCTTCTTCTTTCCCGCCGATGCCGTGCTGCAAGGACACAGCCCATCTTCTTTCCCGCCGGTTCTGTCAATTGATCACTCGACTGGAGACACTGTTTGCTTCGAGTGCAGTCTGAATAGAGAACTTTCACCAACGAGTCCGGCGACAACGACCCGGTCCGTGTTGGAGGACCCACAAACCCTCTTCTCATTGACGATGGATAAACCACCGTCATTTTGAAACCCAATGGTGTTTGCGGCGGTGACACCAACTCAGCCGACGAGGTGCAGGCGGCAATGCACAACTCGCCAACCTCTCAACCCTCTCCAATTCGCCTCCTAACACCCGATCTCTTCGATTCACCTCCCAACCCTCTCTGACTAGATTTCTTCGTTGTGTGGGAGGTGTGCAGCGTCATCATCTCTCCAAGAACAACAATAAACTTCCAAAAATTGAGTAACTTTCATATGTCTGTCCTTTTGTCAAACCTCAGGGAGTGTGACTATACTTTACCGTTATTTTTAATATCTTTTTAATATGATGGATATTGTGGCAGTGGGAATTTGTGGGGCTGGGGGTTGTAATTTGGGGTTGGCTATATCAGGAGATGAATCCTCGGTAATGGTGGCAACTATGTGCAGTTTGGAATTTCTGACGCTCTTTGAAGATCGTTCTAATCAATTGGGTGAAGTGCAAAAAGCACCCTTCGAGTATGCTTACAGTGCATATCACACCACTCCTGTGTAAAAAATATCCCTCAAGTTTTAATTTGGTGCAATTAAGTCCCTCCAACATATTTAAAACCAAACTTGACTAAAGTAACCTTAGTCAACAATTTTATAAAATATATAAAAATAAAAAATTTTGTAAAAAGACCAAAAAGGACAATAAACAGTGATTATTTTTATTATTATTTTTTATTGAACACGTCCGCGTAGACTTTGTAGAAGCCCTTGTCGGTGTCGGAGTAGTCGGAAAAGACGGAGTTGGAGAAGAAAAAGAAGAGGTCGGGGACGGTGGAGGAACCGGATGGGATGGGATCGGAGATGAGGATTTGGGAACGGTACGAATCGTACCAAGCACGTTCGCGAGGGTCAGAGAGGACCTCGTAGGCGTTAACGAGCTCTTGGAAGGAGGCGGTGGTGTCGGCTTCGGATACGCTAAATTGGACGAGTTTGTCGGGGTGGCGCTGGAGGGCGAGCTTCCTGTAGGCTGACCGGATCTCGTCGGCGGTACAGTCACGGTCGAACCCTAAAACCTTGTAGAGACATCACATTTCCGGCGACGCCGAAATGTGAAACATCTTGTCTTAGAGTTTCAAACCCGTTGTTTCCACCTCCGATGGTTTGGGGAATTGAAGGCGTCGCGACCTTTAGAGATAAGGAGATCAGTGGAGGAAAGGGGTTTCGACAAAGGAGGAATCAGACGTGGTGGTGGCGGCGGCGGCAACGCCTCCATTCTCTTTCTCTATTGATTTTTATTGCCCGATTGTGGGTTTGGGGATAGTGGGGTTGACGGTGCCTCCACCATCGACGGAGACGATGGTGGGTTTAATTGGGATTTTTGTGGGTTTTTCATGGGTTCAATTGGTTGGATTTTTTGTAAGTTTTTCATAGGTTCAATTAATGGGATTTGGTTGTGGTAGCAAAGGTTGCAGTGATAGGTGGAGAAAGAGAAAAAAAGGGGTGGGCAGTTTTGGCGGGCGGTGGTTGCGATGGTGGCGACTGGTGGGTGCGGTGGTGGCTATGGTAGGGCTGTGAAATGGTAGCCGTGAGTATGAATAGGTCGTGGTGGGTGTGGTGGTTGTTGGCCGCATAACTGGTCCAGCGATCTTTGCACATTTCGACACCTCCTTCACCTTCATTATGATACAATTTGTTTATAAATATTAATATATAATTGAAGGCTAAATTGTAAAATGACACAGCTTAATGGGCATTTTTGGAAGAGTAAAAGGGCAAAATAGGTACTACAGTAATAATTTATGTCAGATTTATGACAGGGGTAAAGGTGCATAATTTTAAAAGATTAGGGGTGTTTATTGTACACTTCAAATAAGGGGTAAAAATGCTACTCAGAGTATAATTAAGAAGTGTTTAATGCACTTACCCCTAATTAATTCGACCTTTCTGTCAAGTGATCACTTGTTATGATTGAAATTGAAATTGGGGATAACTATATTGTGCCATCTGGGAATGGCATACAACCTATCGATTAACCACCGCAACATTGTTTGATGAACAAGTACTTGGTTGAACCTTTTGATTATTTGCTAAGCCTTCGGTTTCTTCTTTCTTGGCTGAATCACCAAAATGGTACAATGTCTACAAGTTTGATTAGGAGATCGTATATGATGTTATTTATATTCCTGTGTGTATATATATATAGAGAGAGTGAGGGACTTGGAAGCCCTTAAGAGCTTGGCGAGGTAGAGAGAGAAATAGTGGGTGGTGATGTCTTGGGATGTTGGTGGTCGATCCACAATGAGAAGAAAAGAGAGAGAATTCTTATTTGCTGGTCAAACTAATTTTACTTAATTATCTATTTTAAAATTTTAAATTATAAAATTTTAGTATTTTGGAATACAAGTTTTGAGGACATTTTGGACCTTAAAAATAATCCTTGATTTATATGTAATTACTTTACTTAATTTTTTTTTTCTCCTTTCTCTTTCTCTTTCTCTTTCTCTTTCTCATTTCATTAACAAATCAATCATATATTAAGTAGGTTTGTAAAAATTATGTGAGGTCTTTGGTATGACTTGTGCTTGGTTATTATTGGTAGATATATTTATATACAAAAAGTATAAAATAATGACATGAGCTAAAGATAATTACTCCAAATAAAAATTATAAAATATTGGCCAGAGCAAAAAATAATTAATCAATTTTATATATATATATATAAATTTAATGTGACATTTACACAAAAACAACAACAACAATAATAATATTATAGACAACCGTTAAAATACTCTAATTAACTTTAAATTGGCCAACAATTAATACCCACCGCCTTTCCTTTAGTCAATGTCAGATTTTTTTTTTCTTTTTGATTTTTTTTTTTTTTAGAAGGGGGGGAAATTTGGCTGTTTATTATTTACATTTTCAGTTGTAAATAAAGACAATCGAATATTTTTTTAAAAAAATTGAAGGATGAAATAAATTTAAATTGATCTAAAATTTGTTAATCATCTTAGTTTAGCGATTAGGAATGTATTTCTATTTTTTTTTCTTTTTGTAATTTTTAAAAATGCTGCCAAATTAAATTATTTTTAGGATAAATTATTTTTTAGAATTTGTTTACCTATAAACAAGTGCCAACTATAATTACTAATTTTTTTAATAGCATATCAATTTATTTATTTCTTTCTAAACATTATGTATTCGAACTTGGACTTCGTCACCCCAACTTGTGTATTTAGTGCCATCTAGAAGGACTAGGATCCTCTAAGTTGAATTGTTGTGGTTTTAACATGTGTCATTTTACCTAAATCTAAGGCTAACAATGCTTCACATAATTTAGTGATAAAAAATGTTTAAAACGACAATGTTTCCAACCACCCACCTCTCTCTACCAGTATTCTTGGTTTGATTTTTTTTTCCGTTTCATCACAAATTTGCAAACTTTACCACCAATTTTGTACCAATCCCAATTTACTTTAATTCTTTCAAAATTTTGAGAGTATTTATACACACACATATATAAACACATAGAGAGAATTACTGAAGGAATAAACTAGAGAAATGAAAGGGGGAGACCTTTTGTAACAATGAAGAACCCACTAGTTTTAGACATAAGAGGCCAGAAAAAATGGAGAGTTAAAAGAAGTTTTAGCATTCATTAACTAAGTTTCTCTTTTCATTGGTTAAACAACTTTAGTTTTAATTTTTAATTTTTAATTTGCTGATGTGGTGCATTATGAGTCATAGATCTGGGATAAAGGCTACATATCAAAGTTTCTAAGATTCAACTTAGGATAATGTAGAAAATCTTTAACTTGGAGGATCTTAGCCACTTCTAGAGTTAGAAGGTGATAGTTTTAAAATTATTAACTTATTTTTTAAAATTTTAAAAGTATTTAAAAATATACTCTCTCTGTTCCAAAATATATGTTCACATTAGTATACGACTCACTACAGATGCTAATATGGATTACTATTTGGGACATAAGGAGTATATAAGAATGATTTTTTTTTTTTTTTTTTTTTTTTGGCAAAAAAACATAAAAATCCCCCTCAGCTATTAAAAATTAGCATTTTACCTCTTTGAACTACAAAATCGAGCAAGTTAGTACTTCAACTATCAGAAATAAGCAGTTTGACCCCCTGGCAGTCCTTTCCGGCTCATTGCTGGTCACAGGCATTATACATTTATAAAAATGCCCATTATAATTAACATTTTTAAAAAAGCAAATAAAATTAAAATTATGAAATACCATCAATACCGTCACAGTTATTCTAAATGTAAAAGTGAGTTTGTGACTAGCAAAAGAAAAATAATAATAAAAAATTAATAATAATAATAATAATAATAATATTATCCAGTTATGCTCAATTGAAAAATCAATATATATATTTTTCCCCTTAATATATATATATATTACAGCCACATTGACTGCATACCCCATTTGTATCAGAGCTTGTAGAAGATAAAGCTCGTAGACAATAATTTTGAGAGGAAAAACTAAAAATAATATATGTATTTATACATTACATATATCAAGGAAGACTTTTACAAATAGTGCACGAGTATTTCTTAGACAAACCAATTTAAAATGATAGGAACCGACAACGACGAACGGCAGGGACTTCCCGGTGAGCACGCAGGTCTAAATTGACCGTCGGTGAGTGAACCAGCGAGCACGCGGGTCTAAACTGCAGCCACGGAACTTACTGGCAAGGACGCAGGTCTGAACTGCTGCCATGGAATGAACAGGCAAGGCGCAGACTGAACGGACATGGAACTTACCGGCGAGCACGCGAATTGAATTAGCAATGAGAAACAGTTCGGTAGTGACAGAGTGCGAGCAAGCACTATTGGTTAAGTTCCGCAGATGGGTTGGTTGTTTGAGTTGCGATTGGTGTAAGGATTTTGCAATTGGGAATTGCACATTATTTACGTGTTGAAGAAGATGAATAGTGACGGCATGAGGCTGTTTGTAAATTCAGAAACTCCAAAATTCAAGCAATTCTCTCATCTGGGTCTCTCTCAATCGCTTCAAAATCTTTAAGTGGGGAAAAATCTATTACCTTTTTACTCTGGTAAATAACTGTAAGTTGAAAACTGCATACAAATTGAAGTTGAAAATCTGTAAATGAGGTGGTGGTGGCTTATAGATGGTGTAGATGATAGGTGGTTTCAGTGGGTGTGTGGGCCTTTGGGTTTGGATAGCGTATGATTTGCTGAATCTAATGACAACATGAAGTTGGGGTGTGGTTGCATTGCAAGATAGAGTCCTGAATCTAGTGGTTACATGAAGTTAGGGTGTGGTTGCATTGAAAGATAGAGTCCGCTTGTGACGCAAATTGTGATGACAATTATGCATTGACATTCTTTTTTATTGTTAATGAAGTTTTTAGATTGGTTTTCAAATTTTTAATTTTTGGCATTCCAGAAGAATTAAACCTCTGGGTGGCTTTCTTGTAGGAGCCATTACGTTTCAGTATCGATCACTTAAGCCCCACTGCTCCAAGTGCTTGCTTTGTTGTTAAGGTACTGACTTGCTCGATTTTATAGTTTAGGGAGGGAGATAAAATGCTGATTTTTGATAGCTGGTTTTTTTTTTTAATTATATAAGAATGATTTTGTTTTGTGCCATTGGATCAAATCTAATGAAGAACTGGTGATGTATAAAGTCTAAATGTATATTATATGTACATATCTAATCTCAATTCCTAGGTTTTCTTTAGCAAATTGTTAGTCACAACCTCCACGGCGCTCGTCTGTTCTGGTCAGATCTGCTGGTGTAGGGATAGCAACGGGGCGGGGTGGGGCGGAGATTCCATTCCCCATCCCCATCCCCATCCCCGATACATTTTTCATTCCTTATCTCTGCCCCCATCACCGCTTAAAATTTTGTCAGAATAGCCATCCCCGCCCCGACACCTTATCCCCATCCCCGCCCTACCCCCGACCTCGGCCTCGTAATTTTTTTTTCTTAAAAAAAAATATATTTTTTCTTATTTTCATATATATAATAAGTCTAATTTAGTAATAAATTATTATATGTATATAAATTTAATTTAGTAATAAATTATTATATGTAATAGTATATTAGTAACTTCGTACTTAATACGAACGGACCGATGCGGATTTACCCTATCCCCATTCCCGTTTAGCGTAAAGGATCCCCATCCCGCTATAAACGGGGCGGCCCAGGGGATGGGGAATTGCCATCCCTATGCTGTATTGTCTATTCCGATCTGCTTCGCCGGCGATCTCTCCGTATTGTCAATTTGTCTCCACATACTTGAGCAAAGACCACAACTTTCAATCTGTCTTGCCGTTTCCCTTGTGTTCTGATGAGATCTGCCGGTGACGATTTTTTATACTTTCCGATTGTTTATTCCGATCAGCTTCGCTGGCGGTCTCTCTGTTTCTCCAGAGACTGAGCAAAGCAACAACTTTCTATCTGTCTCGCCGTTTCCCTTGTTTTCTGATTAGATCCGACGTTGCCGGTTTTATATACTTTCCGATTGTTTATTCCGACCAGCTTTTCCGGCGGGGTCTCTGTTTTTCCACAGACTTGAGCAAAGGCCTCAACTTTCTACCTGTCTCGCCGTTTCCCTTGTTTTCTGATCAGATCTGACGGTGCCGGTTTTATATACTTTCCGATTGGGTCTATCTGTTTTTCCAGCCACAACTATTTTATACTTTCCGATTGTTTATTCCGAACAGCTTCGCCGGCGATCTCTCTGTTTCTCAACAGGCGTGTAAAGGTGACAACTTTCTACATGTCTGCCTTGCACCTCTCCTTCGTAGTAAATTTCCCGAGGTTTGCGTCATCAACAGCTAAATCTTATCTTAGATATTGAAATAATAATTATTTATTGTTTTTCGAGTTATATACAATTTAATTTATTTTATATTTAGGTTGTCCGTGGTTTATTAGGATTTCACTTTTTTTCGCTTTACAGAGCTGTTTTAGGATTTGTTATTTTGCCTATATGTCTTTAATTAGAACAATTCAAAGAAAGGAACAAATCTGAAGTGGTAGAGAGAAGAGAAGAGAAGAGAAGTTGATTAAATGGCTTCTAGGATAAAAAGGTGCCGGAATGCGAAGAGGAGACGGTCGTCGGCCCAAATCTCCTCCGCCGCTGCTGAAATCATCGGCAATAACCACGACCCGGTGATGGAGATTCTTCTGCTTCTGCCGCCGAAATCCCTCATTCGATTCAAGTCTGTCTCGAAAACATGGTCGTCTCTAATCTCCGATCGTACCTTCTGTATCCTCTGGCAACAGCGCCGACAATCCCACGATCTTCCCAAAACTTCCGGCCTTTTCTTCACCTGTAAATCCCGTACTCAAATCAAATACATTCCTCTCAAAGACACAGATGATGGTGGAAAAAGCAGGTCTTTAGCGCGCTTTCCCAATATGTACCATATCAATACAACTATCATACACTCCTGCAATGGTCTGCTACTCTGCTGTTTAAAAAAGCCAGGCTATAGTCCCCGATCTTACCAAGTCTACAATCCCACCACAAAGCAATTCCGGTCTCTTCCCTGGCCCTTTTCCCGCACTAGTTATCCTGCTGACCCTTTATATTTGGCTTTTGATCCTTCCAAATCACTTCACTACAAAGTTGTTTTGCTTCAGAGAATACCACACAAGTATAAGAAGAATAATTACTTGTATCAAATTCATATTTATTCGTCAGAAACCAATGCTTGGAGACCCTTTGGTGGTGATACCATCCCGGCAAGATCAGCATCATCATCGGACTTGGATTATGGAGTCTATTCCAATGGTTCTATCCATTGGATTTCCTTCCACCGAGAACAAGCTTCCATATACTTTGATGTTGATCAGGAGAGATTGTGCCCAATGCCATCTCTACCAATATTACATAATTTTGGTTTTGTATTCCGGCATTTTGGGGTGTCTGGAGGTCATTTACATTTTATTCAGGAATCTAGTTGTGACACCAGATACAGTATTGACATCTCTGAAATGGAAAGCGATTACTCCAAGTGGTCGTTCAAGTATCGGGTTGACCTTAACATGATGTTGGATTTTGTATCACAGGACATGATTATGAGCCATGCCGTGACTGTGCTTGGTTTAGTAGATGGAGAAGATGAAGATGATGTGTATTTGATGCTATTTGTAGGCACCAACATGATTTTCTCTTACAACTTAAAGGATAATACGTTTAAGAAGCTTCATGATGTAGCACACCATCCTGGTTCTTCATCTTCTGAGCTTGTACTGTATAAACACTGTAGTCTCTATCCATTCATTGAGACACTCCTTCCTCTGTTTGACTGATGGGTTGTATTTTCCCACAAATGCGGTTAGAGAACGCCCTATTGATTTAAAAGCCTGCACTTACAACAGTAAATATGCATGTGCCAAAAAGATTTCATGGAAAATCATATGACAAATTGTAGGATGTGCATTGACAGTATGCCCATACTTCAACTTGAAGGATATTATCATAACCAAGCATTTTCCTACTGCCCTTCTAATGGAGAGAAAATATCATTTAGTTCATTTCGACTCCAAATCAATAAAAAGATGGGGTCTCAGTCACTTGTATAATATGTTGGCAGCAAGGTGAAATTTTATAAGAGGGAAAGACTGGCTACCTAGAAAGAGATATGTGTGTGTGTGTGGGGCGCGCGCGCGAATCCATTATTGGCTGCAAGCATTTAGACAATTTTCTATGAAATTCCAATATCAAGGTAACATTGTTTTGGCTCATGATCTCCTAAAAGGCTTTTTTAGTAAGAGTGAGTCTATGGCTTTGAAAGTATATTTGAAGAAGGCCTGTGATTCCATTTCCTTGAATTTTCTGTTGAAATTGATGCACAATTTGTCAATGGAGTTCCTGCTCTTCTGCTCGTTTATTCTAAATACCTTTCGACTCTGCAAATAATAATATTTAGGTGAGGCCCAGCACCATTCTCATCGCAAATATGTCACAATCTTGACTGGTCAATCAAAAATAAAAAAGAATAATATGGTCCAGAAATAAAATAAATGAACCTGATTTTCGTTCCTTTTCTTTTTTATTGTGTCACATATGCAGTGGTGATGACCTAAATATTGTCCCTTAGGAGATTGACGGAAGGCTTGCCTAAAACCAACAAGCATGTAGAAGTTGCAAAACGGAGGCAGGATTGCAAAGTGAACTGGGTTAAGAGGAAGTGTAGTATTACATATGGAACGGATTAAGAGAAAGAGCAGTACTGCATATGAACCGAGGTGTGTGATGTACAGTTGTAATAATTTTTTTATTTTTGGGACTTGGACTACAGCCCAAATTAGTCCTTCAGTAGCTCCACCACATTAACAGAGGGAACATGATCTTAAACATGCAAAACTGTATTTCAATTTCTTTTCTTTACAATCATAAAAAAGATCTTGAAGTCTTCTTTTCCAATGCAAGAACGACAGCTCTATCTAGGTGGGTATACGGCACATTCCATCATTCACCCCTTGGCCTACGAGTTTGGTAGGAAATTATTAAGTTACACTTTAATACAGTATTTGGCTACCATGGTAGGAAATTATTAAAGTGTAACTTAATACAGTATTTGGCTACCATTCATTTGTACTTTGACTTTTTTCGTCGACGTGGTAGCCAAAATGAATAATGTCTTGACAATTACCATATGCATTACAGCGTACAACATACACTGGAACACCCATTAGCTTGCTTTTGTAACAAATTGGGCTACGGGCCTTCTTAGCCCCAACGGGAGTAGAGACGAGCATTAGAGGTCCTTGGGCGACCTACAGCTCAGCCCATCACTCAAACCTCATCTCTCTTACCTTTCTTCCAATAATTTTTGCAAGCAAACAGCTTTATCTTTCTGAATTCTAGACTACTCAATTGATCTTATTTTGCTTTACACTTTTACCAATACTGGAACAAAATGATCATGTTTTGCTTCTCAATTGGAAATCACTTGTTTAAAATAAGACCGGGTATGATTATCATCATCTCTATTACATTTATCAATTCTCCTTTCCTACCTAGCTCTATGAATTTTTATCAGTTCAATAACCTTTTCCATGCATAAAATAAGTAAAATAGTCCTAACCAGTACTAGCCAAGAATAGTTTGCATGACACCTGCTAACTCACACTCTGTACTAACTGAGAATAGTTGCATGCCACTATCTCAAACTCAATATCACAAGTAATTGGCTAACAATTATTAGGCTTGCAAAAACATGTCATCTCGGATCATGTGTGTGGGCTTGGACTGGCCCGTGAATTCTTCCATCTTAAGACAGCTTGAGAGCAACCTCCACCTGTGACCAAATGCACTCTAGTTAAACCAAAAGAGAATGATCAAATGAAGTGGTAAAGAAACATGAAATATGAGAGAGATCTCACAAGAGGAGCAAGTGCTGTTTGAGAATCTCTCCCGGTCTTCGAAGAATCCTTCTCATATTGCTCAATGTGAAGACGAATGGTAGTGCCTTCTGAGCCCGTTCGAGAGAGCAAAAAAACCTGAAATGCAGTGTCAAACGAATTTTTAGAGCATACTTTTATTACAAGATATTTCCTTTTTAATAATACAAATTCTAAACAATGTTATACATTATCATATCATTTCATTGATTGTTTAATTTTTGATAGGGATAATTAGAATCCCACTTACCAATCGCGATCCATCACTAAACAAATATCGGATTCCCTGATGCTTTGAGATGGAACCATCAACAAAATCTTTGTACTCAAATTCATCAACATTGTCCACATCCGACACATCTGAATGTATTCCCTTCACAATCCTACATGAATTAACAAGCATAAAGTAGGTTTCATGATGATGAGGGAAGAACCTTTTACCCAAAAAAAAATATATAGAACCCTAGTACAACACTTCTAATACAATAAATAGCAAAAAATAATGTTATAGAAAAGATCAATTATAAAGCAAAATATTAAATGAACCAAGTTGAGACTAGGGAACCTCTCCTTACAATAAATATTTTGATGATTCTCTTCCGCATTTATTTAAGTTTAACATTTATTGAAGAATGGTGAATTAAAAAGGCAAAGAAAAGAAATATAACAGCAACCCAACTCAAGCCGGACTTCACTCATCACTTAGACAACCTGGCCAAGATTTGCAGCCCTATATGTGCCTACACTATCTTGGTTATCTTTTTCCAAAATCTGATTCATCCATTAACAAAGTTCCCCTTTGAATTACAAACATAAGAACACTGATCACCAGTTACAAACAAAAGAACACTGATCACCAGTTGCGCCAGTTCCAATTTTGATTATATGTATTATAATCAAGAAACATATATACATATAATCAAGCTTGTTTCCAATAACTATATCCAAATTCGCCCAACGTCCCCCTTTATTATCTAGTGTGGAATCATTGTCTCAGTGGTCGAGATGACCAACTTCTACAGCTTGATATGCAGTTTACGATAGTCCAAGAAGAAATAACAAATGAATCACTGACCAGAAATTACTAGTGATTGTAGCATACTAGCAATGCAGGCAAGCTATGAAAACCTCTATTTTATTTTCCCTGGGGGAGAATTGTTCAGAAATAAGAAGGGCAATTACATGAAACAAGAAACTCATTTCATTATTAGAGTAATAATCTTTAAAGTAAACCTCCATCATTTTCATCTTTCATCATTCATTACATAACAAAAAAGAACCATTCTTCAATGTCACTTACTGTTGTTCAATATAAATTGAAATATATGTTACATAAAATAGGATACATGTATTCGATGTAAATGTGTCCAAGTGTCAAATTTATCAAATCCCCAAACTCAGCATTATTGTGTTGTTGGCTAATATTGTTTTCTATTCAGAAGGCAAAATTGTGTTAACCATGTAACATTGTGTTCAACATAAGAAATTAACTCATCCTACAAAAATGGTGCAAAACAGAAAACATGAGACGATAGGTTTACCTGCAATTGCAACATATTTGGATTATCAAGTATGATCGCCAGATGTATGTCCAACCAGACATGCTAAGCATATCTTAAATGTATACCCTTATGGCATTATGTCATGTGGCCTAGGAAGCAAGGACACACCTAAAAGGGCCAAGAATCCATGTCGAACACGCCAAAAAACGTGTCTGAATTTTTTATTTTCTTTTTTATATTTGGACACGGCACGGAGACCCGTTGGACACACCATGGATATGTGTCCAACACGACATGTCCCACTCTGGGATTTTTTTATTTTTATTTTTTTAAGTAAGGCATTCTTGGAGATATTTAACAAAGTTTTAGAAAGAAAGTTGAGTTGAAGTGTTAATATGAGGAGTTGTTTAATAACTTTCAGCAATATGGTCATTATATAATTACTTAAAAGTTTTTGTTTTATAAAACAATTTTATATTAAAACAATCATATATTTGTACTTATATTTTAGTTCAAAGGTTCAAACTCTTGCATAATCATCTTTGACTATCTCTTGTTCTCCCACCAACCAAGCTTCACCTGAAGGGTCTCTCTCTCCTCTTTTCTTGCTTCTTTGTCCTCCTCTTTTCTTTTTTCTTCTTCACAAACCCTAGATACTTCATTTTATCCTTTCACGCCCAAAATTCTTTTTGTGTCTCTTTTTCCCTTTTCCTCTTATATCCATATTTTTTTTCTACTTCTATGGATTCTTATTTTTAACAAGCCCTAATTATTTTTCTAACAAAACTCTAGCCTCTTTGTTTCTTCGTTTTTTTCTCTTTATTAACCGTTTTTCTATCATTCTTTCTTTTCCCAGCAAAACACAATTTTATCCATTATTAGGTTGATAAAAAGTATATTACTGACTTCTTAAAATATATATATATATATATATTTACTATTCGCCGTGTCCATGTCTAATTTTTTTAGGAATTGCCGTGTGGCCGTGTTTGTCTCGTATCCGTGTCCCGTATCTGTGCTTCTTAGCATGTGGCCGACATGAATACTTCACAAAATTTTTACACACAAATCTGACAAAATTTGAACTTCTCCTATCAATAACTCTTAGGCAACATGAAACCCACAATTCAACAGTTCCACATGCACAGAAACATAAACACTTACAAGTACAAAAGAGAAAGTTTCGGTAATTACAGCATGCCATTATTGATATAACATCAAAGAAACTTTTGAGTATAAAGAATACTTGTTAACTTTGCTCAGCGGCAATTGCAGCTTTAACAAGTATGCCATTAGTTCATTTGCGGTAGCTGCAGCAACATTCTTGAAGAAACAAAACAATTAAAAAAGATGTTTAACCAAATATGATTACTGCCAATAAACAGATAGAAAAAATTAAATATGCATATCTCATAATCATACCAGGTGTAATAGTGGCGACCAAATGTACCCCAATGATGGCGAACAATGTCTTCAACTGACACAAGCTTTCCCCCACTCAAGCTTTCATTATTTTTGTAAGCAAGATTTGATAGCCAAGCCAAAACAGCCCAAATTCCATCTTTCTCGCAAACATGATCTGAGCCTGTCAATTGATAAAACAATGATTGAAAAAATTATTTGCAAACGTTTCAATTTTTCCGCATGTAATATAAACAAAATTAAATATTGAAGAGAAAATGCATTAAGTCTTACCAGTTCCAAAACTTCTTCACTACATAATGAGCATAATGTAGAATCCATTAAGTTACCAAAGGATTTCCATCCAGTGGGCACCTGGCATTTAATATGGATAATAAAATTAAGCCTCCATAACAGTTGTAGAGGAACCCATAATTAGATATACTACTCTCTGAGTACCTCAAAAAGTTTCAAATTCAAATGTTTAGCTACGACATCAAAAGCAGATGATGTAGGAATGCTCCTACAGGCAGGAAAAAGAAAAAAAGAAAAAAAAAAAAAAAGAGATGAGATTGAAATAAAATGAGTGTAACTCGTGATAAAATGGAAAATACAGAAAGATGCTCCTTAGAGGAAGAGCACCCAAACATGAAAATACATGAACCTGCCACCCACACAGGTGCACATGCATTCATGAGCAGCCACTCACACATCTACAACCACAAAATAAGCTGAGCAAGAAGTTATACATCCTGGGTACTCCCTTCAGACCATCAGAGAAATAAGGTATGCAGTGAACACCATTTGCAGCAATGATGGCAACAGAATCTGATGGAGTAACAAAAAACCTGACACCACAAGAGAAGGTAGAAATGTTTCAAGTACTGAAAAGTTATCAATTGTGCACAACAGAAGTCAGCTGTGGTGCTACCTTTTACCAAAGATCATGTTACGATATGCATCACCATCAGCAGCTGCACCAAATTCCGGGGACTCCTCTTGAGGGTTTTGACTTGCCCAATCCCATACGTGCAACTAACTCCATTGCATGTGTCAGATTAGGGTCAGGATGACCTCCTCCAAAGTCCTCCTGCTCTCATGAAGT